GAATAGGCCCTCACCCAGCAGGCTTCACTTGCTGGGGCTAATCATACCCGCATATAGCACAGTGACCTGTATTCCTGTAAAGAGGAACTCACGCACAGGGCAGAGCACATGTTTTATTCCTGCCCTTCTTGTGGGATGCTGAACCCCTTGGTTTAGGTGGTGGAGTTGACTTGTGCTGTTTGACCTTGTTTGGTAACCTTCAACAATGTGGGGAGAGACATCAAGGCTAAAGGTTGATTCAGAAATCATACATAAGTTCCTAATTCCTAATTTTTGTAGAAATGGTTGGAAAGAATAGCAGCCTTCCAGGGTGAGACCCTGTACCCCTCCACACCCCTGCCCTCACTCTCTGCCTGAGCCCTGATTCAGTCTCCTGGCTGCCTGGGTTGGGGGATGGCTGTTGGTAATCCAGACTAGTCTAGCTGAGCCAGTGGGTCTCAAACTTGAACACTATGAGAAGTACCTGGAAGGCTTATTCACACACAGATTACGGAACTCCCAGGGTTCCTGTTGCAATAGGTCTGGGGAGGTGTCAGGAACCTAACGAGCTCTCAGGTTATTGCTGATCTGGAACCAGCTTCGCTAAACCACCAAGTCCCCACGTAAGTGCTCAGCTTCAGTAGTGTAGGTGAACCAGTTCAGGACTCTGTTTCCCTCTGCCTTTTTCAGGGTCACAAAAGTGCTGGTATTTGAGGTGGGTTGCTTCGCTCCCCATCCTCCTGTCACCAGAGTGGTTGTGAGCTCCGGGCTGGAGTCGCTTTGTCCCAGCATAGCCCAGGACCTCCAGGCTCTTGAGTTGCACAGGAAAGAATTCAAGAACAAGTCCAAGTGAGAGTGAAAGCAAATATTATTTAGGTAGCGAAAAAGAGCCTAGAAAATTGTGGGTTTCTGGAGACAGAATCAGGGAGTGAATCCAGTACAAGCTGCTGCTCACCTCGTTGCTGTGAAAGAAGTAAAAGTATGTGTCCGAGCGGACATAGGCAAACTTGCAAGTGAGTTTCTCATTGGGTCAATCAGTTCTTGAAATTTTATATTACGTTTGTACAGAAGGTATCCAGCCATATAATGTGAAAAATAGAGACATTTATTGAGTAAGATAGAAGGTACAAGAAACACTGTACATAGGAGAATGACACCTCAGTCCCCTTCAAAATAGGCACCTTGGGACCTCACACAGTTCTCCCAATCACCATCAGTTGCCCTGTTGTATTTTCCTAAATCTCATCAATGATCTGAGATCTCTTCCCCTTCAAAAGTGATTTTAGTTTTGGGAAAAGCTAGAAGTCACATGGTGCCGAATCTGGGCTGTAGGGGGGCTGAGTCACCTGGGTGACTTGATGTTTTGCCAGAAAACTCTGCACAAGATGTGATGCATGAGCAGGTGTGTTTTCATGATGAAGTTGCCAATCGCCAGTTGCTCATAGTCCCAGCCTTCTGAATCATCTGAATAGTTTCCATGGAGAAATGTTCAAGCTTAATGCAAAATTTGCTGCTCTTCTCACTCATTTTGAGTGTGACAGCCACACAGTACACGTGCCCACTCAATGGTGTCTACCGCCCCCACTGACTAGCACAGTGAAGTTGTCATTGTTCATGCATGCACATTCCAGTCCGCTCTCCTTGGCTGCCAGAATCCCTCAATGTTACACAAACTGTTCTCGTTACATTAACAATGGTTGGAGTTTTTCCAGACAGCCCTCATATGTTTCCAAGGGTGGGTTGACTCTGAACTTTGTGGTGCCAAATGCTGACTCTGTGTTTAGGTTGGGAGGAACATCCTTTTTCCTAATATGGTCTCTTCTGAAGTGTCATGGTGTTCATGGGGCCAAATTTTGTCTCCACCTTCTGGTTGGGTGGGGGGGTCTGTCCTTAATGTGGTCTGCTCCAGAAGTATCATGATGTTTATCCCTTGGGCTCCCCTTTTACTTGTGGTGTCAGTTTACATTATAATGAGCTTTGGGGTTGTTCTCTTGTCAGTTTTTCCTCCATCTTGGATTGATCTGATTTTAGCCAGTCCTTGTTGTTGTTGAATTCTACAACCACTACAGGAGTTTCCTGCCATAAACTGTTTCCCTTTGATCATGTGTGGAGGTGGGGGCTCTAATGAGAGGACCTAGAAGCTGATTGGCCTGAGGTGCCTGCTCCTACTTCTTCATTTTGCTTGTCTGGAACTTCCTCTAACTTCTTTCTATCCTGCCTCACTCCCAGATAATCTCCCTGTGCTGCCTGTGGATTTTGCCCTCCTTCTTCATTCCTGTTGGGCCCAAGCTGAGAGTAGCTGTTGCACTTGAAGCTGAGCATGACTTGGAGTGTTTTCTTTCCCTTTGCAGTATGAGGCTCAGGCCAGAGTCTGAGAGGGGCCGAGAGAGGTATGAAGAGCAGGACTAGTGGCTGCTTTCATCCTTCTCCCTGTCTATATTCCACCCAACACCCTTTTTAGGAATGTGTCTCTGTGGGCCCTCCTGACTCAGGAATGGAATTTCCAAGGGGCTGAGTGCATGGTGTAAAGGCTGGTTGGCTAAGCTTGTTGTAAGAAGTTGCTGAGAGCCTCAAAGCTGTGGACAAAAAAGGGGCTCTATGGAAAGTAAACTCACAGGATGATCTGATCATAAATTCCTAACTGGGGTAGGTCATGATAAAAAGTCACACCCAGGCATATAATTTCTTTAGTAAAAGGTGTATCTTTGCCTTAAGCAAACCCTGTCTATGCTTCTGTGCATCAAAGGTAGTGCACCTTTGAAATGCCCCCTTTCAGTCTGCTCCTTCTAATACCTGACCAACTTTTCAGATCCCTCCTTCCAAAGTGTGCACATAGCCTTAACTATCCTGTACCAGGAGTGCCCAACCTTTTGGTGTCTGTGGGCCACACTGGAAGAATAATTGTTGTTTTGGGCCATGCATTAAATACATCGCAACACATAATTGCACACACACAAAAATCTCATAATGTTTTAAGTAAATTTACAATTTTGCATCGGGTTGCGCTTATAGCCATCCTGAGCCACATGTGGCCTGCGGGCCACAGGCTGAACACCCCTTCATGCAACCCAGTCACTGCCTTGCTTTCTCCCACCTCCATGTGTTCTTCTTTATGTTCTCTCCTAATCTCAAATGCATGAAAGAAACTGCAAACTGTTATTTTCTGATGCATTTTTCTCAGTCTGTTGAAATCTTGTTTCCAGGCATATTCTCTCTCTTAAGGAAATTTTTGTAAATATTCTTGACAGGTTTGGACATTCTTATGTTGACAAAGTCCTCATGACCGTTGGTCTGGCATGCAGTTGTAGAGATGTTTGCTGACACTCCTTGGTTTGTTGACTCACTACAGCCCTGTGTCCCTAAGGACGTGGCATTAAACCCACCTCTCTTGTTTCCCTGGGGTGATCTGCTGGGAGAGGCAGGAATTCCAGGAAATTTTCAGTAATCTGTGCTGGGAAATTGCATAAGAATCAGTTTTGTGAGGGTCTAAAACAGAGTGTTTCAGAGCAAGGACACTAGAGCCATATAATCTGGGTTCAAATCCAGCTCTGCCACTTACTACCTGTGGGATTGTGGGAATGGTAAGCAAAACTTCCTTTCTCATTTTGCATGAGAATTTGACCTTCACTTAACTTTGTATCTTCTTCCTCTGGGAACCTGATGAAGAGAGTAAGTCAGCCGCACTTAACGCAACCTTGCTTATGATAAAAATGACCTTGTGATAAAAATGACTACAGCTGGGCTGGCAAACCTTTTCACATCTAGTAAGAAGCTATTCTTTGTGCTTTGCTAAGTATGGTGACCCTTTCACTGTCCTGTCCTTTATGGGGACCCTAGAAGCTATGCCTGTGGAGTTGTTACAAGCAACAGTGGCTCCTGTCAGGTTTTAAACCAGGGTGGTGGCCATAGCCACTTATCCCTGCACCTGAGCCATCACCTTGGGGGCCAAAGAGAGTATCTCTTGATGGCTCAATGGACTGGGGTCTTGTGGACTGGTCCTGTTGAAGAGGAACTCCTAAGGCTGCCCTGTCTGAAAGCTGTGTCCTTTTTAAGTGGATCTAATGTCAAGTGTGCCAATTGGTAGTCTTGTGAGCCTCAATGTTTAGTTAAAACTAAAAAGTCTCTGGTCTATTTGTTTTTAAACTCTGTGTGCCTTTGTCTCATCAGTAAAATAGGGATGATAATACTACCTGCCTTCTAGGGTTGTTGGGATGATTGTAAGGAGCTTAGAACAGGGTCTAGTACATAAGTATGGGCTGCTATCATCATCATCATCATCACCATCATCACCCTCACCATTATTGTTATTAGGATGGGAGAGCAGGAGGCCTTTCTCCTTTGGGTCAGCTCCACCCTCAGCTTAGTTACTAACCACATGGCTTTGGACAGCTGATCTCATTCTCTAAAATCACAGATCCTTACAGTGTATTTTAGGTTTTTCATTTATTTGTTGAATGAGTCATTGAATTAGGAGAGGCAACTAAATGTTAGGGTCCTTTCTGGTTTCAAATATATGGTTTTGTGCGGCTTTGACTCTGAGAAGAAAGCTGAAAGAGGGATGGGGGAAAGAGGTGAGAAACCACCTATAGAGTGCGTGGTGTCAGGGGTCAAAGGTCTGGAGCCACCCGGAGAGGGGATGGTTCATTAGGAGGACGTGGACGGTGTCCAGGAGTCCTCCTTACCACATAGGTCCAGCCAAGGCTTAAGAGAGGAATGTTGACAATTCTGACCTTCGGGTAACGCTTTCCTGTGTTTCCAGGGCAGGGTTAAAGGGATCAGAGGGCAGCGATGTGCAGCTAAGAATAGGCTGAAATGGCTATTTTTGGTTGTTTTGGAGTATTTCTTTGAGAAAAACTGCAGAGTCATGGTGTACTGCCTGGGTTTGTCTTGTCTGAGGACACCACTCACAGTGGCAATAAGGAGGAGGATCTCTGACTCCCCGCCCCGCTGCGGGGAGAGGTGCGCAGCGGCCCCTGCAGAAGGCTGACCCTAATGCTGTGTGTTTCTCCCTCCCTCCTCAGGTCTGAACGCTGGGGCTTTTTATGCCTTGTCCACTCTGCTGAATCGTATGGTGATCTTGCACTATCCGGTAAGGGAGTCCCATGAGCGTGCTGGGCCTGGAGAGACTGAGGTTTCTGAGGCTGTCTCAGCAGGAGCTGGGGTGGTAGTTAACTCTTAGAGCTCCCCCCCTTCCAGGCAGCATGGTATGGTGCTTATGGGACTTGGAGGGCCTCATCCCCAGCTCTGGTGGCACTATATTGTGTGACAAGCTAGTTAGGATCTCTGAGCTCTCATTCGAATCTATTTTCTGCAAAAGAAGCATAGTTACTTACTGAAAGATTATTTTTAAGATTAGCAAGTAAATAATATTGTGTGTCTATGTATCTTTCATATATATTATTTACACATAAAGTACATAGCATAGTGCCTGGCAATATAGTAGGTAAACATATATGGAGAGTCACATCTGAAATATATAATTTGTAAAATATGGGCAACGTTTAATTTTGGTTAGACTCTTAGTTACTCAACTCAAAGTATTTTTTAAATGTTTCCAGAACCAGTGAGGGCTGGATACTCGGAATGGGATTCTGAGTGTCCTGGATTCAGGAATTCCAAGTCCAAGCTCCTTGTGAAAGGACCAGGGTCTCACAGCTGCAGAGGTGGCCACTGTGGCTAAGTGTTCTGGTTTTGGAGTGTGGCAGGCCTGAGTTCAAATCCTAGCTCTGCACTTAACAAATGCCTAATGACCTTGGACTAATAGGTTAATCTCACTGTGCCTCAGTTTCTTCATGTGAAAAATGGGGAATACTCATTCCTAAACTTATGGTGGGGAATGATGAGAATTAAATGAGGTAACAAGGTAAAATCCTCAGCATGGTGGCTGGCTCATAATAATAAGGCCTCAAAAAATATACAACTATTATTTTACCATTTCTTTTGACACTGATACCTCCAAAAACTGAAGTATGGGGTATTTGGATATACATACTTGTTTCCTCTTCTGTGAAATGGGAATAATGATAAATAAGATAAAAGAGTTGCTATAAGAATTACATTTTTTAAAAAAACTCTACCTGGAAGTGGTTCTAAGGACAGAATTTGGTTCACCTCAGCATCCAGTATCATACACATACATCTGGGATGATACTCATATGTTGGGAGCTGCATCTGTTCTAGGATTTCCTCCCCATTGGCACCTTCTTACAGGCTGTCTTGTCCCGATACATTCTGAAAATGGCTCTAATGGAGCCCGAGTCCCTTGCCTTTGCCCCTTCGCCTCACGGTGACCGCACTCGGTCTGTGTCCTACTGCTGGCTGACCTTTGGGGGCTGTGGTTTTCTTTCCCAGGGAGAAGAAGTGAATGCTGGAAGAATAGGCCTGACCATTGTCATTGCAGGAATGCTTGGGGCTATGATCTCAGGCATCTGGCTGGATAGGTCCAAAACCTACAAGTAAGTGACTCTTCTTCTTGGACTGAGAATCAGGGGACGCAATTTTGAAATGACATACTCGTTCGCAATCTAGCTCCAAAGGTTTGGGTGCGGCAGCTGAGTGGTCGCGTGGGCAGTTCAAATTTAGCTTCTTTGAGCCTCAGTTTCCTCATTTGTAAAATGAGGGAAGCAATACCCACCCTGTGGGGGATCTTAGGGAGATCTGAGAAAAAGGACCTGAGGCCTAGCCCAGTACCACCCCACATACAGCCATGGGAGGAGTCGATGAGGGAGAAGTGAAAGTGAATGTAGAGAAAATGTCAGCAGTTGAAAAGTTTGGGGAATCTTCAAACAATGGAATGAGGAGGTGATTCCACTGGCCTGTTCTCATGGCTCCCTTGGACCATATGGGTTTACCCACGGTGCTCTGTGCTTACTTTGGTTTGCAGTGTATTCACTTGTAATTGCTTATACCTTCTTGGTAGATAGTGCGATATGCTTAGAGTTTGAATGCTCAGTGCCTTTCTTAGAGTCCAGAGTGGTCTTTCTAAGATTTTAGTGCACTCATATGCCAGACAAATCCAGAATGCTTATTAAAGGTACGGACTCCTGGGCTCTACCATCATGGATACCAATTCAGTAGGGGAATCTGCATCTGTCTCAATTTGCTGCAATTCAGTAGCCAGGCTCAGAGAAAGACTCTGGATTAAACAGAGGCCCAACACCCTTCTCTTCTTACTGCATCTTTTCAGTGCTCTGTATGCACTGGGTGCTCAATTAATGCTGGCCAGTGGGGCGGCTGCCCGGGTTGTCCTGCGCTGGGGCAGGGTGGTATTCTGGGCTGCTTTGTTGAGGCCTCCAAAGTTCCCAGTGTCTGGAAGCAACAGACAGTGGCAGACCTGTTCTCTGCCACACAAATCCACTTTTGTGAGGCACTGGTCAGCCCAGGTCTCGCCGTGGCTGCCTTACTCAAATGCCAACTGAGGCTGTCCCCGGGGATGTGGCTGCCTCGCTGAACATGATGGAGGACTTGGCTTGGCTTAATTAACTGCTGCTGGAGCTTGGCTGCCATCTCGTCTCTGTCATCCGTCAATTGCTTGCTTCAGCCACACCCGAGAGCAGTGGGGACTGGCCTTCTCCAGACCAGTGAACAGCACTGTTTCTGTTTCCGGGGCCTGCTCTGTGGCAGGAGAAGGAGGCGCTGGAATGTTGCTAGGCTGGAACGTGGGCTGCAGACGATGATGCAGATGAAAATGCAGTGAAAGGGCTGGGGAGGACACTTCCGGACCTAGCCGTGGCCAGGTGCTCTGCGTCACTTGATGCCCACATCCTGCGGTCAGCAGGAGACCCCCCCTGCACTGCTACCCAGGCAGAAAAAGGATGAGTGAAAACTGTGACCTGGTCTTTGGGGTGCCGGTTCTTTTCTCCCTGAGGCTCCCAGATTTTCCCGCCTGGTTTGGAGGCTGGAAATCGGGTGGTCGGGTCCGTTTGCCACAGGCTGGAACTGCAGATAGTTTTTCTAGATGGGTCCGTGGTTTGCGATGAAGCTGTGGTTAGATAAATCTGGTGAAAGATGAGCTGGTGGGTCAGTGAGACAGAGTGGTGTTCACGAAGTTGCTCTCTGCAGTGTGGGTCGGACTGGATGCCAGAGCAGGCGGAGGAAGAACAAAGCTCCTCCATGGGCAGCAGCTTTGAAGCACTGGGTGGGAGCGGCATCCTTCAGAGGCTCTGGCCTTGGGCTTTTCCAAAGCAGCACCCACACAGAGTATTAGTATCCTCCCTGCCATAGTAGAAGGAACACAGGGTTCCAATCCCAGCTCTGCATTTACTCAATGGGTGACTTTGGACTGTAACGTAACAAGCCTGAGCCTCAGTTTCCTCCTTTGTAAAAGTAGGGATAGTTATACTTCTCTGTCAGGGCTTTTATGATTGTTGAACAAAATAGTAAATGAATGGAAGATGTTTAAGAGAATCCCCAGCACCCAATAGATCAGGTATCAATTTCACATTACTATAGTATACGTTTGCTGATGCCCCTACCATGTTTGTGGCTTCAAGGGAGATGTGCGCAGGCCTTCGGCTTTCATTGTCTGAGACCTGATGGTGGCGGCGGGAGGGCAGAGGTACTGCAGAGCTGGGAGAGGAAGGCGGGTCCAGGCAGGAGTCAGGACCCCTGCTGCGCCCAGAGCGGGTACTGGTGAGCCTGGCGCAAACCAGTTCCGTGCTGATGGTCCTTCAGAGGGGACAGCCAGAGGGAAATGTGACAGGGAGTGAGCGGGGCTTTCTCGCTGGGGCCAGACACTTAGTTCAGAGTCGGAGAACCTTCTTAGTCCCTGCTGTCTGGGGGAATTCACATTGAGCAGGAGAAACCGTGCTGCCTTGTGCAAGTAGCAGCAGGAAGAACGTTCAAGATGACAGAGATAATCTAAAAGTCACGGCACTTCTCAGCATTGTCATGGGATCTTGGGCAAAGCAGACGTGCAGAACTGGGTGGCTTCTGGGGTCGTCCTGCACGCGGATGTTTGTCTTGTTTATTCTCCTGGTGGGGGATGAGGAGACGAAGGAGCTGTGCCACTCTCGCTGCGGGTAGGAAGTGGAGCGTTGAAGTGCAGCTCGATGCTGTTGAGAGGGCTCTGCGGGAGGAGAGTACACACGCAGCAGGATGGCTTCATGCTCTGCTGGTCCTACCCTTTGTAGTAAAGACCACGTGTAATTAAATAAGTATCTGTGTGATCGCTGGTTCAGGGTCCATCAACCTCATGGACAGAGAGTTCTGTGAGAGCAGATGTCCCAGCACACAGCAGAGGGCTTCACACACAGCAGGTGCCTGATAGACACTTGTAGAATGAATGAATGAATGAATGAATGAATGAATGAATGAATGAGTGAGTGAATGAGTGAACGAATGAACAAATGATCCTGTTGAAGTCAGAAGTGTATGAGTCAACTTTTTGTTTCTGCTTGTAGGGAGACAACCCTGGTGGTCTATGTCATGGCTCTGGTGGGCATGGTGGTGTACACAGTGACCTTGAGCCTGGGGCACCTGTGGGTAGTGTTCATCACCGCCGGCACATTGGGGTAAGTCTGACCTTGGACAGGTTTTACTGGAGAGCACCATCCCATTGGTTCCTAGAGCTGCCGATGTTAGTATCGATCCCTATGCTGCCTTCTCACTGATCTCTGTGGAGATATACAAATGGTGGCCAGAGGTTTGTTTTTTTTTTTCCCTTTTAGGTGCATATGAAAATACCTTGCATTTTTATCAGAGGCCTTGTTTATGTGTAGCACTTCAAAAGGCCACCTGGAGCTTCCAGGCCCATCTGTGCAGTTGGGGTGCAGTGTTTTCTTCACCGAGTCTTTTTTAGCTCTGCCTAGGGCAGCACGGGGTCATGCAAGGTCTGGGTCCTGGGCTCGGTTCTGCTGCTGACTACCTCTTAGACCACAGGCATGTCACTCAACTGCTCTGAGCCTCCGTCTCCTCATGTATAAACGAAGATAGGTGGCCTGCCCTGTAGAGCTGCTGGAAGGATCGAGAGAGAGAGAGAGAACAGATGTGAAAGCAGCAAGAAATGTGGTGTAGATGTGAGAAATTAGAATTGAAATTTTTTAGACCTGTCATCTGAGAAAGCATTGGAAAGAGCACCCCTTCCACAGGGGTTCTCTGCGCAGCTTCATGTCCTAATTATTTACTGTGGGCAGTACATGAGTGTGTGTGTGTGTGTTGGCGGGGGGCAGGGGGAGCTCCTCAATCCTTCTCAGCTGGTGACTCCCTGGGGGAAATAGGGAGGGCTTTGAGCTCCTCCAGGTCCCATAGTCATGGGGATGCTGTTCAATATCCGGGGACTTCCTACTCCCAGCACAGGGCCTGGGTACCCCCGACACAGAGTCCCTCCACGGAGGGCCGAACACTCCAGACATCCCCACCCTCCTGTAAACGCTGACCCTGCCTGCAACTGGTGGCTGGATGTAGAAGGAGCAGGGCTTCTCAGTACAGAGGCCTCCTGAGTACAAAGCCTGTTGTGAACGCCTTCCTGGCCTTCAGGGACCTCTCTTTCCTTGGTATGGCATCCTAGGGAGTGGACTGATCGATCATTCAAGGGCCTGGCATGTTTTGACGGGTAGAAACAAAACAGGAAAAGGAGTTCTAAGGGAGGAGGTGGGCTCTCCATCCTTTCTGTTCTGGAAGCTCTCCATCAACTTGTTTCTTGATCTGGCCTCCAGGTTCTTTATGACTGGCTACCTCCCGCTGGGGTTTGAGTTTGCGGTGGAGCTGACCTACCCAGAATCAGAAGGCATATCGTCTGGCCTCCTCAACATGTCTGCCCAGGTAGGTCTTATTTGGTGGTACAGTGGCTCTTTGTTCCCTGTTCTGCTTGGCTGGTGTCTGCCTTGCTTTATGGCAGCTCAACTCTACTGTGGGCTAGTTGACTGGGCCCTTGTTTCCAGTCTCCTGTGTACCTTTCCAGGTATTTGGGATCATCTTCACCATCTCCCAGGGCCAGATTATCGAGAACTATGGAACCAAGCCTGGGAACATCTTTCTGTGTGTGTTCCTCACCCTCGGAGCAGCCCTCACTGGTGAGCTGGGGGGGGGGGGGGGGGCTTAGGAACACATGAGGCTCAAGCTGCTTATGGACTTAGGCAGTTTGGGACCCGGTGTCTTGATTGACTGTACAGATCAGGGGTACACATGCAGGACAGAGGGGAGGTCTTGTCAGGAAATCTGCTTGGGAGGCAGGAATATGTTTTTGGTGGAATGAGCTTGGGCTGTAGAGAGAAAAGACCCTTGTTTGAATCCCAGGCTGTTAGCTGTTTGACCTTGGGCAAGTGGACTAACCTTTGGGAGCCTCAGTTTCCTAATCTATAAAATGGGGGTTATTGTGAGAATTAGAGCAGCTCATGCCAACACTCTGGCAAATGTAAGTGATCTGCAAGGCCCCTGTTGGCTTCTGCCTGTCGGAAGCAGCAGTCTCCAGGCTTTATCAGGGTAGGTGACAGTGTGCCCCTAGCTTCCTGAAGTATCTGAAGTAGGTCTGGGATACCTGTGACCCTTAGCAAAATCAGGGCTCCCCTCTCTTGGATGAACTTGAGCATTGTCCTGCTTGATAACTTGGTGTCTCTGTTGCTCTTCCTTCTCGATCCCTTGACCTCAGCATTCATCAAGGCCGATCTTCGGAGGCAAAAAGCAAACAAAGAAACTCCTGAGAATGTATGTATGTGAGAGCTCACTGGGCTGAAATCTGGGTCCCAGGCTGAGGATGTGGCGGCGTGGGTGGGGGTGGGGGAGCTTCCGGAGTAGCCGAGCTTGCAAATGTGACTCCACAGTTTCCTCAGCCGCTATTTCAACACCGCCTTCCTGCCGCTCTTTCCCAGGCTCCTCTCCAGCTTCCATCTCTTCCCCTGACCTCCCTGCTCTGGTCCTCAGAGCATGTCACTATTGTCACAGTCTGCTGAGCAGCACGCACCCCTCCCTGGGCTCCTGAGCCCAGTTCTGGGGTCCTGGCTCTGCTGCTTTCAGCCTGGGGTCAGTGCCAGACAGGAAAGGTGGGAGGCTGGCTGTCCTCCTGTCTTGGCAGTGGTGGCCCAAGGCAGTGGCTCTCCTGGCTTGTGACAGCCCCTGAAGCAGTGCTGTGGAGATAGAAGGACCAGAGCCGATGGACGGCCAGTAGGCCCTAGAAAGGATAAGTCAGGAGGCAGGAGCTGAGTGATGGCGGTGAGGAGTGATGGTGGTAGAAGGGGAGAGAGCCAGGAGTATGATCTACAGCAGGAAAGTGTTTCCCTTGTTTTCTGATCAGCTGGGAATCATTAAATCTTAGGAGGCGTGGAAGTGGGATTTTTTTTTAAACAAAAAACAAACAAACAAAAAGCCTCTCTAAAACATATTACAGAGGTAATATATATTCTATATAGAAAAATTTAAAAATATAGAAAAGTGCACAAAGTTTAAAAATTATTCTGTAATGCCATCATCTAGAGGTGAGATGCTATATTCTGCATTGATTCGTACATGCCCGTATCCCCTATACTATGTGTGTGTGTGTGTGTAGATATCCATATTATATATATACACATACATATTGTTTTTAAATAAAAATGGAATCTTGTTTTTTCTTGTGTTTTTACTTGTGAACACTTATTAGCTCGTTAGTCCTTTACAACATACTTTAATAACTGCACAATGTTCCGTTCTGTGGGTAAGCCATGATTTACTTAACAGTTTTCCTGCCCATGGACATTATGATTGTTTCCAATTGTTGTTTTAAAATCACATTGCAGTTAACGTCTTGGAAGCTGAATTTTTGTGCATGCTCTGAAGCACAGTACTCCCTTGAGAAACAGTTCAGTGGTCATGCACACTTTTAAGACCTTGATACGTATTGCTACACTGTCCTCCAGCAAGGCACTGTCAATACCACCAATTTATAGTGCTATAGCAGTCCATGTGTGAGTGCCAACATGGGGCGTTTATCCATTTGAGAACTGCCAATTTTCTAAAGCAAAAATGGCACCTGAAAGAGACATATTTAGCATTTTAAGGATACGTGTTGGCAGATTGATGATAATCTTTAGTACTTTCCTATTTGTCTTCTGATACCATGCTAGAGTTGGCAGTGCCATGTGGAGGGAGGAGCTCGGACTGAAAATTAGCTGGGGAGACAGGGAAAGCCTCAGGGCAGGGATGCTGTCTTCCAGACAGGCGTGAGGACCACAGCAGTGCTGCTGTGGAGGCGGGCTCCTGCCTGCGCTGCACACAAGGAAACAGTGGTTTGGAACACTTTTTGTGGACATAGAATGAGCCTGGGAAAAGGTGCCTGGAATAAGACAGGATAGATTTCTCTTGAAGAGGTTTCAATTTGGTGTGTGACGTATTGTGTCAATTGATGTAAGATTTAGCCATGCTTACTTTATAATGTAAAATTCAATTTGTTGTGTGACATATTGTGTCAATTGATGTGAGATTTAGCCATGCTTACTTTATAATGTAAAAAAGAACAAAGTAAAGGCCGCCTATAGTCCTAGTGCCCAGAAATAACCTAGTAACGTTTTAGTCCACTTTTCAGTGTTGCTTCCTATGGGAATGCTTGTGCACGTTTGGTTTTCTGCTTTGCTTGTTTACTTAATTCAGCTTGACAACCTTTCCACACCATTACATTCTGTAACCTCGTATCTGCGTGCATGGACACACACACACACTTGCATTTAGTCTTGTTGAATATTTAGGTTATTCCAGTATTTCACTACTGCAACCAGGATCTTTGTGCACGTGGATCAGGTTAGTTACACAAGGTTGCAGTTGTTTTTTGTTTTTTTTTTTTGCACCTTCTTTTTTGCAGTAATGGAAGTGGCACTGAATAGGACTAGGAGACAAATCCAATGCTGGTTCTCAACCATCTCTGTCCCTGGACAAGCCACTGTGCATCTCTGGGCCTCACTTGCGTCTGGGGCAGCTTAGTGGTATGGGGAGGTCAGAGTCGTGCTGTGCTGGGCTGGACCCCCAGGAAGCCGGGGCTGTCTCGGAGCATCCCCGTTCCGGAGCCCGCCGTGGTGGTGTGAATGAGACCTGCACATTAGCACACAAAGTCATTATCAGAGCCAGGGAAAGCCAGGCTCACAGCAGATCTGGCCAGCACTGCTCTTTCTATTAAGGGAGGTGTCTAGTTTCTGTAGAAATACATAGAATCTATGGGCCAGGGGTAACTACCATGCTTGACTATGAAAATCTCGGTTTGGGTTTCCATTTTATTCCAGTTGGAAGAGTGGTTATGCCTCCATTTCCACTAATCTGTGTTTCTAACTGTGATTTCAAGGCAATGGCTCTGGGGGTGGGCAGGTGTGTGTGCACAGGTGTGTGCGCGAAGGTGTGAGCACACATGTGTCTGCATGTGTACATGAGTGTACATGTGCCAGAGAAAGAGACTGATTCACGTGCGTTGCTTGAATTAAGGCTTCCTGTGACTGCGGCTGACCTGGGGCCACAGAGCTAGCAAGACTGGGAATGGGAGGCTGGGCGCCCACCGCTGTTGCCATTGCCACGGTCTGGCCCTGAGGCGCTCTGAGGAGGCACCATAGACACAGGCTCTAGCGTGGCCCTGCACACACCCCTCTCGCCCCTGAGCGGTGTTGGCAGTGCAGGGCTGTGCCGTGCACGGCCTTCTCCCTAACTAGGTGAACCCTTGAGCCGAGAAGCAGAGTGCTCCTAAAAAGGAAATGCCCAAGGTGGCCATATGAAATGAGTGTCCCCACAGGATATTTTCCAGGCCATATTAAATTCCAAACCCACCTTACAAATGTGACCCAGAAGGCTCCCCTAATCCTGTACCATCTCTGCCCAAGACAGCCAAAGCCAAACTGTCCCAAAGTCTCTTTTTCTAGGTATCAAGTATACATACATATTTTTAGTCATTGAGTTTATACATGCAACTATGCATCCTGCCTTTATAACATGTTTTTGTTGTATCCATTCCATGCACATCCTAGTACTATTCTTCATCCTGGGGGCTGCCTCCAAATGTGGGTAGCTGGAAATTCAGAGGGAGCTGCAGACGTGGCACTTGGACCGCTACTTGATGGTCCATGCAGGTGACTTGTCGGCTGTCAAATTGGGGAGGGGGCGTGAGCGGAGAACTGCAGCACTTGGAGTGGGACGGTTTGTAGCGACTGTGGCATCTCAGAAAGCTAGCCTTTTTGGTTCTTCCTTTGATGACGTTGTGATGGGGGGGCATGTGAGAGTTTGTGTTTAGCGGACACACGGGGGCCAGGGGCTGGCATTTCTTTTCTTGCTCCCTTTGTTCACTCTTGAAGGTGCTGGGAGGCCTCGGGCTCTTGTTTTCCCTGCTGATTACGCAGTCACTGAGAGGCGGTCACTCCAGCCCGGGGTGGAGTCCTGTGCCTCCTCACCCAAAGGACTGCCTGCCTGTTTTGCCTTGTAGAAACTCCAGGAGGAGGAGGAGAAGGAGGAAAACAATACCAGCAAAGCGCCCACCACGATGTCTGAGGAGCACCTCTGAGAGGGAAAGGTGGTTGTGACCCAAGGAACACAGAATGCTCCCCCCACCCCGCCCTTCGGCCAGCACAGCTCTCGCTGCCAACACAAAGGTCTTCGCTGGCAGCTTCTGCGGAGAACCAGCTGGAATATTTGTGGCTTGGATGGCGGTGCCTATGCTTCTGGAACCCATTCAAGAGCTTGCCTGGTCTGGCTGGGGAATATCGCGTCTTTCACCAAATGCAGACTCGATTTCCGCTGCCTCCCCTCCTAGGTTCTGGGAGCTGGTGTTGGGAGAGGCTGGTGAGTGGCGGAGTCAGTCCTGGCTTTGCACCTTGCCTTCCCTCCTCACCTCCAACCCTCACGGAGGAAGCCTGCCAAATTATCACCGAAGGAAAACTTATTCAGGATGTTAACTTTTTCTAATGTCTTAAGACCGTTAGAAGCCCAATTCTAAGGAGCGGCAGCTGTTCTGGATGAGAGTCACTCTTGAGTCATTAGACTAACTGCTAACTTTCTGTGGGAAAGGAAGCATCATCGGAACAAACCCGTGGGCACTCTGGGCCGATGTTGTACTGGCCTAATGTTGGGGTCTGTCTCCAAACCCTCTTTCCTAAGAGCTGATCAAACCAAATGTCAATAAACTTGAGACTTTGTTGTGCCCCTGAAGGAGAAACTGATTTGGGAGAGGTAACAACCTAGGCCTGTGAGAATGCTGGCGGTCACCATATCCGGGAACCCAAGTAGCCCAGTTTGCGAGCAGGGAGGTGCTTTTTACAAAAGAAGTCCTTGCCCAGAAATTCTGTGTGTCAGTCACCTCTGGTGCCTCTATCTGGACACAGCCTTGAGAAACTAAGTACTTGTTTTCTCTGGAGAGAGGGAATACCAGCCAACTTCCTGTAACGGTTATCGAAAATGAACCTTAATTCATTCCACTCTGAGAAATCCAGCACTGCGTCTGAGATGAGAGGAAAGGGCCAGAAGGAAAGGTGGTGTTGGGAATGGGAATCGAGTCTCCTAGAATCAAGCGTATCCCACCTCTGGTGGGCACAGTATTTGCGCACCCACCCTCTTCTGGCAAAACCCTTTTATCGGATGCTGTAAATATAAAGGGATTCCCTGTGAGCCAACCCAAGCTGACCTCCTCTCCTGCTGAACCTGCTGTCTGGCTCTACTCCTAGGCGTGGGTAGCATCTCTGGAGAAAAAGACGTTTTGGTAATTTTTCCTGTGCACTGAACAGCTGCACTCATGACCATTGTGCTGTTTTGCAGTGGCTACTGCCCAGGCCTCAGGCTGTCGGAGCAGCCTGTGCTAGCAACGGTGCTGGGGTGCTTGGGTTGCTGCTGGAGGAGCCAGTGTGTGCGTGCGTGTGCGTGTGTGTGTGTGTGTGTGTGTGTGTGCAGACACTGAGTAATAAGTTCACACTTCAGGTAGGGGAGCAAAGGGGTCGAGGAGCGGTGGGGAAAAAGCATGCCTTATTTTTTGATAAGGAGAGAGGTGTTTAGCCTTCTGTCCCTTAAAATGTATTAACAAAATGTTTACCAAATCCATTGCTTTCTTTTATGAAACAATCTCTTTTCTGTTGTAAACCAGATGTTTGAAAGCAATAAAAGATTCTCCAAGTGGTCTGCCTTGTCCTTTGATGGGGCAGAGATGGCTTTTTGGTAGTCCCTATGAGATTATTGCACATTCTGAGGGCTGGAGGGGTGCTGGGGTGGGGGGGGGGGGAGTTGGGGCCAGAGGAGCAGCTCCTGAGGCCTTCTATAGAAGTGGCCGCCTGTTTACATAGCTGTTCCCATCCTAGTGGGTTACTTTTTAAAGACAAGGCTGTGAAAGTTACTGTCGGCCTATGTGGGAGACTGCAACTCAACGTCCAGCGCATGACCCTGGCTGCTTTCTGTGTATTCTGGACGCATGAAGGTTCACTGAGTGTGAGTGCTGATGAGAGAGCCCACTGCTGTTTTTGGCTCTGCCTCAAAGGGGCAGTGTTTGTTTTGTAACTGCCCCGGCCACGTACCAGCTTGCTCTGGCCAGAGCCCAGTTTCAGCATCCGCAGTTCTGTGTAACGCGTTTCCTCTCATCTGTCTTCCTTGCTGCCGCTCCTCCCTTCCCACTTGTGCTCACCTTAAGTCTGTTACTCGGATGTGCTGCTCTCAGTTTTTGTACGTTTTCCCTAGAGAGTTAGACCTGTGCCTGCGGCATTCTGGCACCGTATCTGTTAGCAATTCTACTTTAAATCATCTAGGAACAGAGCCAAGTCTGGGCTGTTAAAGAAAACCTAATGGTCATAGTGTCTGTAAAATACTCTACAAAATACAACATCTCTTTAGACCCTGTGGGATCTTTGGAAACATATTTCTGCGATGCATGCCTAGAGGATCCAAATCATGATTTCATTCACTCCTTTCTTAGGTGGGTGCCATGTGGGCCTTCACTCAGATGTTCACTCTCTGTAAGATCATCGCTTTTCTTCCTGCCTCCTTACAGTAGTTGGTAAGGGAAAGATAGTTCTTAGCATGGAGCTATTTTTCTAGACATAGTATTGCGGGGAGGTGAGCAAAATTGCTGCAGCCATTTTTGGGCACTGTAAAGGAAGCCAGCCTGAAGGTGAAGCCAGCACAGGTGGGCGCGGCCAAACGAACCACAGAGAAATGGAGCTGCATCCTGATCAAACAGTTCTGAAGCCTAAATGCCCTTTACAGTTTTGTGAGCCACTGTTGTCTTTGCTGTTGAAGCTAGTTCAAGGTAGATTTTGTTTCTTTCACCCACAGAGCCTTAGCTGATAGAGAATTTCCAGTGCATTTAAGTATCAACTTCAAGCTTCCTGTCACGCCCTTGTAATACTCCTGCCTCCCTTGCGGATCTGCTACTTTCTACTTCCTAACTTCACCATTGTAGTTACACTGACCTTACTGCTTGAAGAAGATTGTTCCTGCCTTGCAGATGCTGCTCCCTCTGCCCACAATATCTACTGTATATCTTAAGTCACATGATACGGGGGCATTGAAATCTCAAATCCTCCCTACTTCCTGGTGATGTAAATTAGGTGCTCCCCTCCACTTCTTGATCATATCTATTTTCTAGAATTCTTATCACTGTCTGCAGTTATTCTTTCCCTGGTTGGCTTTTTTTTCCTGCCATTTTAAATTCTATGTAGAGCAACAAAAGATTCCATGATTACAAAAAGAGAACCGAACGCTCACGCTTGGGGCCGGTCTGGTTGCCCGGGGGAGACCGAGTGCCGCCGAGAGACCCGAAGCAAGTTCCAAGCAAAATTAATGTTTCTTTTGAAAAGTCTTTATATGATGCCTTTTCTTTTTGTCTTTATCTTTCCCTCAATATCAAAATGAGTTCTTACAGCTGGTTACACAGTGTGTTCCCTCCTGCTGCCAACTTAATCTCAAGGGCAGCACAAGGATGTCCCGCATGACTCGTAGGCCCTGGTCGACGTTCCCGTCTGGGAGGAAGCAGAAGGGTGGCCCTGGTGCTGAAGGGACGCTTGTGTAGCTCGGGCCACCCCAGGGGCAGCTGCCCTAAGCACCTGGATGGCTTCCGGGATAGGACAACCCCACAGGCCCCTCACTGCCAGGTGGTTAGCAGCAGGGGCTGAGGCTGGGAGAGACCGCAGGCTTGCCCTTTCTGCTGGGCAGGAAACACAGTCCAAAGCTTGAAGCACCTGGCCGAGAGGGCCCCACCTGAGAAGCAGCAACATTCCAGAATCTTCTTTTCTTTAGGGTCTGTGTGGGTTCCAGTCTTTGGTGGCCAACAGAACCCGCAGCTATATGACAGTCTTGTTAAGTAGTGCATGTGGGAACTACCTTAGGCCACGAGGGCCATTTAATCTATAGCTTCTCATTTAATTCCATAAAAGGCTAAGAGACAAGTGGGATAAGGAATGGAACCAGCACCCTTGCTATACTGAGTTGGGGCTGGAAACCAATCAGTACATACTACTTTCTGGCCAACCCAAAAGGGGGATAAATGGAAGCTGAGTCAAAGGGCGTTTTCCCTTTAAGACTCTACTTGCTCAATTCAAATATCTTCCATTCCCTTTGGTGGGTGAGAACATTCCAAATGTTCTTTTACCTCAGCTGAACTGCCTGGAGAGGGGTAAATACTGTGGACTTTGCTGCCTCCATCTAGAAATGGTTGAGTTGGGAGCCTCTGAGCACCAGGCCTGTGTCAATCTCTGATTTGAACAACACCTCCACCTGTGGGCAGGGAGCCCTGCGCCTAGAGAGATACTACTTCCAGTTCACGGTCAAATTTTTAACAGAGAAGAACACATTTTCATTGTCAAAATCTTCACAGAACACACCCAAAGCATAATCAAAGCACAGAGACGTGTAGGAGCAAATCGTCACTTCCCTTGGCTACACTGTAGGGGCCACAGGAGCAGGGTCATTGCCTGGGGCCGGCCTTTCTTTCCCAAGGGTCTGGCAGGGAGTACGTGTTCAGTAAATACCTGCTGACAGAATGAACGGGCCCTGAGTCTGCGTGCTGCGTGTGAGGAGGGCCCCTGTCCACTCCGGTGCCCTGGCTTTGGGGTTCAGGGTCCTCCTCTCCACCGCCACGCAGCCGTTTCTTCTGTGCTGCCTGGCTCCGTGCTTTGCCTCTGCTTTCTAAGAATCTATTTCTTCCATAGGAAGAAAACAAGAAAGGGTCCTGACTGATAGGTTGTGACCTCAGAATCTTGAAGAGGGGAAGGGAGAGGAAGATTTGATTCCAAGAGAAATGAATGCGTGACGGAAGGAGCTGGAGGCAGCCAGGTTTGCCTGGGTTCTGAGCTGTCCCACTCATTATGGCGTATTTGCTTAGCACAAAGCTGTGAGTCTCCTATTCCAGGGCTCAGAGGAGGGCAGAAGTGCTCTGGGCTTAACGGAGGTCAGAGGACAAGGACTGGTCAGAACAGAGGGTTTTTCTTTATTACAAAATTCATTACACAAATATAGCTGACCAGAAGGTCTAAAAACAGCCCAGACTCTTCCAACCACAATCCGTCTGTAGATACAAGGATGTAAGCCACGCTCGCTCACAGGGCAGCCCTTCTTGGAAGAACTGCCTGTTCCTCAGATGGTTCGGAGTCTTGGGTCCAGCAGCAGAGAGGAGCCCAGCGTGCACGGACAACCCCTCGAAGCAGCCCTTGGTGGCAGCTGCTCTGGGTGAGGCAGCAGCGGTAAGTTTCGCAGTCCACATGTTCCCCACACAAATCAAATCAAGGGATGGAAATAGGAGGAAAAAGGTAGAAGGCTCGAAAGGGATCCTCAAGGAGAGCACGGTGGGGGAAGGGCACACAGAGCACTTCTGAGGTGCTGGCAATTTCTTGATTTGTTTGCATTTACAGAAGTGTCACTCTAAAAGAATTCTTTAAATTGCTCGTGTTATATACTTTTCTGTATGCACGTTATATCTTTAAATGTAATTAAAAAACCCAAAACAACATAAAGGGCTGGAAGTGGATAAGGGGGCTGGTGATGGAGCAGAAAAGAAAAAATTAAAGCTCAGAGAGGATGATGGAGGGACAGCCAAGAGGGAAGACGGAGTCTCGGAGGTGGTGATACTGGCCTCAGTTTCTCTTCTTCTGTCTGGACACTGGTTCTACTTCTAGGTACCGGAGCCCAACGAGCATACCCAGGATTGAGAAACCTTAAACAGAGAGAAGATGAGTGGCTGGTGTAAGCACAGTGCTCTCTTGTACCCCTTGTGTGTCTGCCAGAGCTGGGACAGTTCCCGCGGGAGGCCTGGGGTGGTTGCGCGCTTACTTGCCACCAGCAGGGGTGCCAGGACTCCGATCGTGGGAGCCGCCGTCCCGTATACAAACAGCTCAGAAAGGAAGTGCCCCAGAGCAAGGAGGAAGGTCCAGAGCGTGATGTGGTAGAGCCTACGAGGCAGCAGACAGAAAGAAGAACTGAAGTACTGCTTGTTCTGCACAGAGGAAAAGTGGTGGTTTGATCCGATGCGCACAAAGAAAAACCCAGGAAGTGGCTACGGCTAAAGGCAAAGGAGACTTGGTCCTGGGAAAGACCTGCTTGCTTATTAATCACATCCATCTCCCCTAGGGCAAAACTGAAGGTTTCCACCGCTACACTGACAAGAGAATGGTCCAGGCATCTGGAGTGGATCTCCAAGTCTTAGCTATAGCAAAGCAGTGTCTGGATTCCGGCAATTCTGGGCCGTGTAGACAATTTTGGATCAACCATGCTTACAGGTTCCACTTACTCAAACTGGCTTGACTCGGTGGTCTGAGCCCACCTGGCAGGCATTTGGCCAGGGCTGGTCAGTGTTCATATGATGAAGACCACAGAATGAAGAGCCTGAACGGGGAATGAGCAGCAAGGACCGCTCGGGGGCTTTTAGATGCTCTGGCAGTGTGGGCTGGTTATCTGATCTTAGCCTGGGAAAGCGGCCATGTGGCGGACCCGGTGACAACCTCACGGGAAGAGGACTTGTTCCTCAGCTTTGACAAAAAGGTGGGAAAGAGGCAGGTTATAGAATGACCGACCACCTGGATTGCTGCTATCTTTTTTTTTTAAACTATGCAATTTTTTAAATTATGAAATCTTCAAACATACAAAAAAGTATAGATAATAGAATACTATAATTAACTTCTAGGCAACCAATACCCTGCTCCATCAAATCTGAACATTTTTGCTTCACATACTTTTTTCCTAAGAAATAAAATACTAGTTATTTGTTAAAGCATCCTGTGTATTTTTACCTCACTTGATCCCATTCTCTGGCCTCCCTCTTCCCCAGAAGGAAACAATATCTTAAATTTAATTTTTATCCTTCCTGTGCAAGTTTTTATATATTTAGTAAATATGGGAGTTGACTTTGAGCTTCCAGTTAGGGAGGGAACAGAGCCAGAGGGCACATCAGAAGCACAGAGAGAAAAAAAAAAAGTCCCAGGCTTAAACAAGGCTAGAAACACAGGTTGGCTTCTACAGCTGCCCTGTGCTGAGAGAACGGAGAAGGAATGGCTAACCGGTGAAAATAAGTCTGAGCTGTTTTTGCTCATTCCGAAAAGCACCGCAAACAAAGGATATTACCTCTTATATCTACCAGCAATTCTTCATCATGGTAAAGGTCTTTAAAATGATTATTTCATCCTCACTCCCTCCCAGTCACCCTGAGAGGCAGAACAGAAATACTAGTGTCTTTTTATACGTGAAGAGACCAGAATGCAGAGAAGGTGTTTAATGAACTTGCTGCTACAAAGCTAGTTACTAATAGAACTGAGAGCACAGCTCACTGACTTGTGTCCATTCTCAGGCCCCAGGCTGTTTACACTAAACCAACTTTCCCAAAATAAGTGCGAACCTAGAATAAGTCTACCACAGTTTCAAGTTCTACAAAAATTAAAAATAGAGTTGGACAGATCACAGGGCTGATAGCCCTGCTTGAAGTCCCACTTGAGTCCGTCTTCCTCAGATTAAATTAACTGCACCTCTAATATATAGATCTGCGAAACCAGGAATGAAAATCACTACCTCCCCGGACTGCTAGGAGACTTAATCGAAGTCACATAGATGAAAGTTGGCAAAATAAGAGGGGCTCAATAATTATTATTACCTCCTCTCTTCCCTGGATGCTGAGGGTCTGCATCAGACAAAAAAATATTTTAGTGTGAAGTTGGTGTTTCGGTAGCCTCACCCACTGCCCTGAGCACACTTTTCCACCTTGATGTGGTGATGATTGTTGGGAACAGGGCTCGAGCCCCCTCCAGTGGCCGGCACTGGTTACAGCCGTCTCTAGACCAGAGGCTACGACTGCATGCAGCTGTTCTTCTCAAATGAGTACCCTCAAGAGGCAGAATACAGAGGAGTCCTGGGGTCTCTTTCACCCTCCTCTGCCTAAGCATACAGCAGTTTACTTGCAGGTCCCTTTTTTCATGGATTGTGATTTCTTTTCACTCCTGCTTAAGGAGGCATGTGAGAATAAGGTATGTGTGGGTGGCTGCTCTAAAAAGAGCACACTACTGCACTTCTTCAGTAGAAGAAAAGCTGGTTCTTCAGTAGAGAAGCAGGGGGTTGGATTCAGGCCACTGGACCACAGCACCGCCAATTTGCTATGTCAGTTCAAAAGAACTGTCAAACCTCTAAGACCTGCTAGGCCTATTATGTTCCTTAGGCCTGGAAGGAATGGAACCTATTAACCTTTTATTATTCACATTCTAGCCTAATGTATCCAAATTAACGGTCTCTGAGAGGAGGGCCACACTGGGTATGCCTAGCACCTGAGTTCCAATAAAAGGGTGCTAAAGCTCTTCCTTCCCTTACATACGTCTTGTTGTGGATATCAATGGCACAGAGGCAGCGAATCACTGATGACAGCAGTGTCCAGATTCCAAAGGTCCGAGCTTGGAGGCCATTCACTGTGTAGGAGAAAAAAGCAAGAATGTTGAGATGGAGGTGAGGGTCCCTTCCAAACTCTTCCTACTTCACTGGTGGTTCATGGGAGGCAGGGAGCTGGGCCTGAGCTCCCTTTGGCTCGGCAGAGTGGAGCCTCTTGTGTTGTACATGGGAACAAGAAGGAATGGGAAGAATTCCAGAATGAGAACTGCTCAGCACCTCTTCAAATGCCTACAGCTGGGCAGGGGAGTTCCCAGAGTAGAATCCAACAGAGAGCCCACTTGAGCAAATAACTCCTGGATGTTGTAGTTTATACCTCTGCCCTAGCAGCCAGTCTGGTGCTGGTGAAGTCCAGCGAGTCTGGATCAGGACAGGTTTGGGGGAATGTTGGAGAGAGTGGTCTGGCAATACAAGATACCTGGTAGGTCAGCAGACTTTCAAGGCTGGTGCAGGAGAGAATTCAGAAATAAAAGAACCTTTTAGGATGGCCACATCTGATGTTTCAGAGACTTAAGTCCCTGGGTTTTCTCTGAATCCACATCTATATTGTTTGAACAAAGCCCAAACCAGGCTGGTTCCCTATACACATGGTGGTGGAACAAAGCGCTGTTTCTTTAGTGTTTGCCAAGGCCACCCTGCTCTTGGTGGCTTTGTTCTGACACTGCTATACTAAATATCTTCTCCTGAAAGTACGGGTGACATTCCACCATAACAATGTTCTGGATCCTGGGCATTTATTAGAGTCAACTGAAAAAGTTTTATAGAATTACCAAGACTGGGTAGCAGGCCAATTAAAGCATCCTCTCTGGAGGTGGGTCCCTAGGCAAAAATATTTTCTAAAAACCCCCTCCCTTGGTGATTGTAATGTACAGTTATTGATCTAAGGCATTCAGTGGAAGACCTCTGGATAGTAATGAGGCGAATAAAACTCTATACGTCAACCAAATATCTAGCAGTTAGCTACAGTGGGCTACATTCTTTAGAAACCAACTTGACAGCTTTTCTGATGAAAAGGCTGAGGAAATTTCTGTAGTTAGTGAGGTACAAAAGTGAAATATTTCACCAACCCTAACTAGATTAGGCATTGGGTAAAATTCTACCACAGTACTGGTATGATCAGCAGAGTACCATGACAGCCCCCAGACCACAAGGCGGAGGCAGTCTCTACTTCTGGGCTGGAAACAGACAAATAGACAGATGCATGCACATACACGCTGCTTCTGCTCAGCTCTGTGCCTTTCAGCAAGTCACATGACCCCTGGGCTTCTCTTTTTCAACTTAAATTCAAAGGGCTGGACCAGGTAACTAAAGTCCTGCGAATCTATATCGGATTCCTGGACAATCCGAGGGCAGCGTTTGAGGGTGAAATAATGAAACTATCCTGGCCCCCTTTCCAGGTTCTCTATTCCTACTGCATTTGAGTGTTGTTCAAAACGAGCCTTAGCCTACTTAATTCCATTCTGTATGTAGATGCTGCAGAAGAGTATGCTAGGTCAGAGCCTGAATCTGGGTTAGCTATAAATGTGACACAGAATTGTCAGCTGCCATGGAACTGTGTTGCAGCTCAAACCACCCCACGTGTCAGCACAAGGGAGCGTGAGCTGAGACGTGAAAACACTCTCAGCTGGGAGGCTCAGGAAACTGGGAAAGGCCACCGTGGGCCTCCCGAAGTTTCATTTTGGAAGCCAAGCTTGGAGGGATTTGGGCTGTCTTCTCAGGGACTGTGTTCCAGTTTGGGCAGACCGTGGATTAGCAGCTCTCCATCTGCAACACGGAATGGAACCATGCGGGCCACTGACCATGATTTCGGGAGATGGTTGTGATAAGGTGAAAAGCTTCTTTACGGCTTGCCAGTGGGACATCGCACAGTCACCAAGTAACTCTACTGCCTCATTTGCCCTTGCAATGCTTTTTAATAGACTGCCTAGGGCAGTGTAAAATGAATGAAGAGGTGTTCAGAGAAGCTTTGGAGGAAAAAAGGGGCCAAGGCCTATCCACAAAGTTTATTACTCTAGGGGCTGCCAAAGGCTAGATTAGGTAGCATCAAAATCACCTAGATAATTATTAAAAAATAGATTCCTGAGCTCTATATAGGAGGTGAAAGTTTCAATAAATAGGTTTGGAGCGGGAAACGGGAACCTGCACTTTGTTTGTTTATATGTTCCCTAGTGAGTTATTCTGATGGATAGACCACAATTTTGGGCACTCCCACAAAAGATGCAGTTCTTTGACGTCTTACCCAGGTCTGGCTTGCCAGTGTAGAGCTTTTCATAGAGAAAGGTGTGGTCTCGGAAGCTCTGTAGTGTGTTCCCCATGGCTATGATGGACACCATAACCAGCCAGCTTCGTAACACATTCAGAAAACGGCTCATGGCTTCCCTCAAATCGGAGAGGGCTTCCTGCCTTGGAAACAAAGGCAAAGGACATGAGACAACAGACAGTTAATCTTCTACAGCCATAAGTTGTCCTACTGCTGTAGTTAACCTGTGTCCCACTCAGGAGGGCTATACCAAACTCATTTTTTCCATCGCTTCACAAATTCCTCTGCAAGTTCCCTGGGCTCATCCACCCACTACTTACCTTCACACAACACCCTTATCTTCACAGATTTAGCACACTGCCTTTGAATATGTGCCCTAAACCAAAGTGTGCTGACCTTGATCCAGAGTGAAAATGGCTAAGTAATGCAGTGGGTAGAAATGAAAAACCCAGTGGAAAAATCGGAGATTGAAAAAGGAAGCAGTAGAAGAGGCGTACAAATGCTACTATAAAGTAATAAAGTAGATTTATGTGTAAGGCTTACAGAAATTGGTCTCAATAGTTAGTCACACTAATAGGTTGAATCAACAGTATACTTTACAATAAATGGCATAATGTTTATCTTTGTCTTGAGCAATTTCTCCAAAATATTATCCTCCATCAGAATTCTTTTTTCTTGGCCGAATCAGTCCTCTTATATCTTTACTGCTAGACTCGTTTTTCAGGTCATTCCTTTGTAATGCAAGAAGCTGAAAGGTAATTATATCAATAAATCTACTAACAGATTTATTGGCTACTGATGATAGGTCCTTCCAAGTGCATAGAAGCCTTATACAGGTTAGTGGAATCAATGGTGGGAGGGCAATATTTACATCCTCAGGTCTTCTCTAATCTGTTCTCAGGTACACCATGCTCCATAACCGAAGAAGAACACTATAAAAGTTAAATAAACTGCTGTGACTTGAGAACTAGTAAGAAATTATATGGAGATGGAAACAGCAATGTTGGCATTGGGTTGCAGGAGAAATTATAGGTTTACAGTTACTGGGCACTTGTGTGTGCTGTGCACTGTGACAAGCATTTAACATATACTGTGGGCACTATTAATATTTCCATTTTACACATGAGGGTTGGCACAGAGAGGTTAAGTGATTTGATTGTGGTTATACAGCTAATACTGCCTCACTGAGAATATTTTGATGAAGACTCCATTTTTGAGGAAGACAAGCACGCTATATACTCTTTTGTCTTCAAGTTGTATAGAAAGCACCATGAAGTTATGTACGTTTTAAAAAATTTTTTTATTTTAAATTTATTTTTTCAAATACAAAAGTTATGTACTTTAAAAAAAAACAACTTAGATTAACCCTTGCTGAGCATTGATTTCAATTAACTTGACTTAAATAAAACCCAGGTAGATAAATAATCTAAAAATGGGATTGCTTTTTATCTCCATTATGCTTTTCGGCCCATGGTTTATCTGCTGTCAGGTTAACTTCTTGGGCTTGAAGTGGTGACCAACTATCAGGCTTCCTTTGTCACTCTGGCAGGAAAAGTTTCAGTACGGTCCTACACTACCCAGATGAAACAGATCCATATTAAAGTCAGCCATAGCTCAAGACACTGTGAAGCACCAAGAAACAAAAAAGAACTAGAGAGGAGGAAAGGTGAATAAATAAATACCTGGGGAAAGGTGGATCACGGGATGAACTGTGTCCAAGTCCAGAGAGAACAATAGGGCTCCTACCACACATCACAGTTACAGCCCCGGCCAACATCCCTACCCCGGCCTCCCCAATTCTCCTAATTGTCTTACCCTCTGTCTATTGACAGAGGGTCACACTTTCCAGCTTCAGTAAAGGTGCATGGATGGTCCCTTGTTTTTGATAGAACCTACACCTTTCATTTCACAGCTCTTAGGAATCCCAACAGATAGCTGATGAGGGCAGAGCCTGAGCATTCTTCTAAACTGCTCTACCAGTCCCTCAACTCCACTTCTCTAAAACTTGAGGGCCTCCTAGATTACCCAACATCTACTCTCAGATTTTGCCCAGGCCCAGCCCAGCAAAAGTGTGGTGTTAAAATCTGAGTCAGGAGAGAGGCGTTTCTATCCTGGCCCTACCATTTAGTGTATGTGTGATTCTGGGCAAATCATTTACACTTCACAGCCCAAGTTTCCTCACCTGCAAACTGGAGGTAAAAGAAATATTATATCAAGGAATATTCTCCTTACCTGGAGAGCGGACTCCCAGCCCAGTAGCAGCAGCAGTAGCAGCAACAGCAGTGAAGATGCTACCCCAGGGCAGCTCCACCGGCCACCTGAGCCATTTGTGCCCGCCCCCACCCTCACCCGGTTCCAGGATTGGACACTTTCTGTGAGTCCTCGCTCTTATTGGCTGTTCCGGTTCTGCTCAAGCAGGAGATGGGGCGTGAACCCCTTTACTGCCAATCAGCGGTTGCCTCTGAGCAAGTCTCAGCAAGGGTACGCCACTCACACAGTAAACCCGCCTGTTGAGCGTGGCGGAAGAACTCCGGGCTTGGATTCAACTTTTTAGGGGCGGAGGAAAAAAGCGGAGAAAAGAAGTCAAGGTTCTTCTGTGGGTAGCCGGCTCTAAGCCCGCGCTGCGTGGTGGTGACGACATTTTTCCGCGCCCGAAGCCGAGCGTTTTCAGCGCCGGGTGGCGGGCGCCTGCGCAGTGGCTCTGAGCGGGCGGTTGCTTGTTGGTTGTTGTAGTAACGGGGAAGCAGCCGTCCGCTGCAGCGGTGAGCCCAGCTGGGGAAGGAGAGAGGTAGGCGCAGAGCGCGGTCCCCGCCTGCCCGCCCCAAGCCATGGGAGGATGAGACAGGTAAACGCCTGCGCGCTCCCCTACCCGAGCGAGGTGCGCTCCCGGGTCTGGGCGGGCGCGGTCCCCTGCACTTCCCTCTTAGAGTCCGGGAGTAGCTGTAGGCTTCCGGGCGCGCTGGGCTTAATTGATTCGCCGGAGTAGCCCGTGTCCTTTCTGCGGGGAGCATATGCGGACCTACCCGGGATTGAGGTGAGCCAGGCGTGGCGCTGAGGGGCTGATCCTTTTAGGGCAAGGACAGTTCTTGGGCTAGTGTCCTTAATCTTCTTCAAACGCCCTGCGCTGTCTCTTCCCGCCCTGCAGGCAGCCTAGGGCAGTCTGGCATCCCTTCCTGGTTGGAGATTTTGTTTTAATTGAAAGCAAATGCCAACATTTGTGAAAGGTCCAGAAATCCTATTGGGAATCATCAGAAGAACGGCTTTGGAAGTTGTTAGATATTGCCCATTCCGTTGCAGATGTTTAGGGATCAGTATCGGGATCGGCATCTTTGGTTCAGTTTATAATTTGACCCTATATATGAATGCATAGCAAAATGAGGTTTGGAAAGAGTCATATCAAGTAGTTATCTCTGGATTATGGGACTGTGGTCATTTAAACATTTTCATTTTCTTTATCTAATTTCTATTCCTATCTCAAACACAGTGAACATGCACTTTTACCCTATGGAAAATTTTTAGATTAGAAATCGGAAGTATCCTAATTTTAAAGTCTATTTGAGATTCAGGTCATAGATTGATTTTTAGCAAGGGAATTTTTGAGAGTTTTTGGAAGGACTTTTTTCCTGGCTATTAATGACCTTGACTCAGGAGAATATATTAATCTTTTGGTTCAGTAGTTGTATTTTAGTGGAAACATGAGGGCATTTTATCTGTGTGTTTGTCATAGAGTCTAAAAAGATATTTGCAAGGATTTTAATTTTGAATTTAAAATTTTTAACCCAGGTCAGATTTTTCTAGCAAGGAATCTATGTTTTAGACAATCATCTTCCTACCTCAGACTTTCCCCAAAAGTTAAGTCTGTTTTTTTTGGTTCATGTTAGATACTGTATATAAAATGAAAATGAGAAACTTGAACTTAATAACAGTTCTTCAAATACATAGGGGACAGACAATATGTTTGGGAAAAAACTTTGATTTTGGGGACATATGTGAGAAACTGTGATAGACTGTAAGCCTCTAGAGGCTGGGCACCATTTAGGTAAATATTCGTGGAGGATCATCAGCAATAATCGACAAATAGACATTGCATCGTGTTTTAGATCATTTGGCTCTCCTACAGGTATCTGTGCCACCCAAATTGTTTGATCCAGAGGATTTGCAAGGAAAGGTCTCTGAGGCCCCCGTCTGCTGACTGCATGACAAACCCTAAAGGAAATGCCAATCGTGATGGCCCGGGACCTGGAGGAAACAGCATCATCCTCAGAGGATGAGGAGGTGGTAAGCCAAGAGTAAGTAACAGCCAGCTTGCTTTTTGAACCTTTGTTTCTAGGATGGAAAACAGTTCTCTTTTACTCATACATTCTTTTTAAATTTTATTTTATTTATTTATTTTTATTGCTGGGGACAGTGAAACGAGGAAAGGCTTAGGCTAGAAGCAGCAACAGGGGAGAGCCTAGGCGGGGCTGCTTGGTCTCTCCAGAAAGGTTACAGGACAGCAGTGAGCCCAGTGGGGCTGCTAGGGCTCGCTGCAAAGTCAGGGAGACGGGGGCCTCGGAGACGGGTTCAGGGGCTTAGTCCCGGGAGCTGCAGCTGCCCGTTGCTCCCCCGGTTGCAAATCTTATGGGGTCCCTTAGGGTTTAAGAGATGCACACCTGTGGGGGCAAAAGGGAAGGGAAAGGTGCTAGTGTACTCCTGGGAGGGAGACTACTCCACTCATATATATTCTTTTACCCAGTATCCTTCTTTTGATATTGTCTGACGCCGGCTTTAGCTTCTACCCATGATCTAATTAAGGATCTTATTATTCGGTCCCTGTCTGAGATAAGGTTCTGGATTCGTGAGTCAACACTGGCTCTAGATGTTCCAGGTAGTAGCTCTTTGTGAACTCTTGATCAGAGCTCTTAACATAGGAGATTTTGAAATGTTTATAGTAAGTTCTCCAAGCACTGTGTGACATTGGTTATGTTACTTTTTCAAAAACTTTTACAGTGATAGGATAATGATACTATAGAGAGGTCAGGTGACTTACCAGAGTAATTTTGGGGCAGGACATGAGAATGCTATTGCCTGTGCTGTGTCTGTTGAACTGCATTGCTTTCCTGAGTTCTTTTATGTAAGAGTCAAAGTTCTTGATTACTGGATTCTCATAATAATAAGAATATAAATGCTAGTGGTAAGTGCAGCTGCTATAGATAATGATGAGGGCTTTAATTATTGTATCTCATTTAATTTGAAGGTGCTGTTATTCCCACTTTATTAAACTCATCCTCACAAATATCAAAGTTCTTCCTCAGGGATGTGTAGAAAGTAAGCGATGGATTGAGACTCAGACCTAGTTTTACTGAATCTTGAAGCACTTCACTATTTTACCTCCTTTAACCTTATTACTTGACACAGAAAACAAAGAGAAAAAACTGGCTTATAGGTAAGATTAGTTTTTAAGATTTCCTGCGAGTTCCCTTGGATACTTGGGTGCTGTATAACCCGAAAAAATGGGCATAATATCTCTACAGGCTATTCTGTAGGAGTATGGTTAGGGTCAAATCGAATAATATATATGAAATTACTTTGTAAATTATAAAGTGCCACACATATATCAGGCATCATTCTTACTTGCTTTAATATTGAACTTAAAGTGGACTTTTTTTTAAAGGGAAATGAGGGTTTTTTAAAAAAAATTCTATTTGATTTTAGAGAGAGAGAGGAAGAGGGAGAGAGAGACAGAGAGAAGAACATTGATTTGTTGCTCTGCTTATTTATGCATGCATTGGGTGATTCTTGTATGTGCCGTGACCAGGGATCAAACCTGCAACCTTGGTGAATTGGGGAAGATGCTATAACCAACTGAGCTACCTGGCCAGGGCTAACATGGACTTCTTATTATAAAGTGGAAAGTTCTATTATTTAATATTATAACTTGAAAAAATTATCGAAGCATTAATACAGTTTTGAGAAAGGCTTCTCATCACTTTTAGAACAGTTGTAGAAAATAATAAAGATTTGACATTATATTTGGGTCATTCTCACTCAGGATAATTAAATGGATAATTCCCCGTGGTCGCTTTGCCTCCTTACGACTTCTTGCTTTCTGTGTGCGCCTCTTTCCCACTTCACAGAAATTTAACTTCTGCTCCAAGCATCAGCCTTTCCCATTTCTTTTACTCCATAAATATCTTTCTTCTTAGTGGGCTTAGAGGTTGGGCCTGACAAGTGTTAGGTTGAACTGTATGAGGTTGCCATTTTGATAGGTCACAAACAGTCAAATATTGACAATTTCAGGTGGTTCAATATAGTATTATGATAGATACTCCATAAATGCTGACTGAACGCATAAACGTATGATTTAGATCACATTAGATCAGATGTTCTTAACCTTTTTAATGCTGTGGATCCCTTATCAGAATATTTTTAAGTGCATAAAATAAAATACAGATCATTAAAAAATGCCAATTACATTGAAATGCAGTTACCAAGATTTTTTTAAAAATTACTTGTGAAAGTACAAATTACAGTAATTTGTGCTTTCTTATACATTAAATTACAAGATCGTTTGTTTAAAACATGGAGAAGTTAAATTTTACTTTCTGAAGACAGCAACATGAAGACTTTTTGCTTAGTTTGCATAAGATTATTACACTGTACGGTGGATTAACACATAGAAGTAGAGATACTGGGAGACGTCACAGATGTCTGGACTACCACCATGAGGTGTCAGTAGCTGAATAATTGCTTGGAGGAGAGATGCCAAATCATTGTCTAGCTTCATCGAACCAGATGAGGAAGACTGTGATTGCAGGTGATCTAGTGGCAAGTTTTATAATGTAACTTAGGAGTAGTGATAAATGAAAGTGATGTTTTAATATACTGGCATCAACTTTAAAATGGTATAGAACATCTAGTTTCAGATAATGCTAATAGCGATGTTCTTTGCTGCCTATATTCGTAATTAAGAAATATTAAATTTCTAGTAGAAATTAAGAAAATACAGATGTATTAACCCCCTCCCCACTTCTCACTCCCAGTCCAAATTCATGGACCTTTTGCTCCACTATTTTTCAAAACCTCACTGTTGGTTTTTGACTGAGTCTTGTTCTATCAGCTCATGTTTTGCCTATCAGACGCTTGTTTTATACATTAGGAATCTTAGGTCAGTCTTGTTCAAACTTAGAGCGATGGGCTTACACTTAAGTTTTTGGAAATTAGAAGGCCTTAAATCATCTGAGGATGTTGATTTGATCCAAAGATGCATATCCATGGACATCTGTTAGATCTGCTCAGATTCCTAGGCTGTATTAAAGTATTAATGCCTCATAATCCTGGGCTTT